CTACCAATCCTTCTACCTCCTCTCCTTCTTCGACCAACAGTAGTCCAATTTCCGCCAGCACCCTGTAGGTCAACAGCACTGGTGGTGGTCGTTAACCTGGGCCTCGACTGAGCCGGTATGGAATTTGCACTGATGATTTGCATGTTTAAATTTGGCATGTTTTAATGCCGGATGCCCTTCCTGACACAACCCTCTCTATTTATCCGGGCTTGGGACAGAAGTCACTGGCTTGCAACCCCTGTGGCTAGATTAGGACTTTTTCTTTACACCTGTATATCTTCATAACAGGGATAGTCAACATTTGAAAACATCACAAATAGCAAGCCTGCACACACAGTGTGATGCCATTTCCATGACACACTCTAATTTTAGAACTCACAATTAGCTAATAAATGTAGTTAACGGCCACACACCTCTTTCTACAGTTGTGAGGACACTCAATGACATAATTTATTCCCTTACCCTTAACCATCACAACTATATGTCTAACCTCAACCATTACCTTAACCTAAACCTGATTTTATCCTGAATCTAAAAGCAAATTTTATCCCTCAAACAGCAAGACAGGTTAGGCAATGACTGAAACATGTGTCCCAGCCAATATGAGTCAGACTGAAAACAAGTCAGTCACTTCAACAGAAGTTGAACTAAGCGGGAGAACAGTTGGATTTTATTGTTCAACCTATGTTAACATTACATCCTTTCCTTGTCTTTACAGTTACACTTTCACATTTGAAATGTCACAGGAACAGATTCAATCCCACTTTATCTTAAAAATGTCAGACAAGTACAGTATAATAGTAGTAATATTAAGTCCTTAGTATGCAAAAACTATTTTAAGTCAAGCCAGTCTGTCACACATGATAAAATGAGAAAACCTTTGAAGCAGCATAATGGTGAATATCTACAGTAGTTCTGCCTTTAATCCACCGAGCAGATCTCTCTTCTTTCTAATATTGTTAAAGTCAGCTGGAGCTTTCACACAGTTCATGGATTTATCTGAAGACACATTAATTATCTATAGTTCATCTGTCTGTCATGTGTCATTTATACACAGGAACAGATATGCTCCTCACTGAGTAGTAAAAATCTCATTTGAAAGCCTCACCACGAGTCTCTCACACTCAAACCAGAAAACTCAAAACCCTGTTCTATTCATTATTGTTTACCATACACCTGCTCCTTATTCAGAGTTTTTAACTGGATTCTCAGACTTTGTCTGATTTAGTGCTTAGTACAGATAAAGTAATCATAGTAGGCGACTTTAATATTCATGTAGATGCTGACAATGACAGTTTCAACAATGCAATCTGTTCATTATTACACTCAGGTGGCTTTTCTCAAATTGTAAATAAACCCACTCACTGTTTTAATCACACCCTTGATGAGGCTAGGCCCCATGGCACAGCCCCGTGGTCCAGCTCCGCTCCCTAAAGCAGGCATCATGAAAACTGGACAGGAGGTGGCGCTCCACTAAGTCAGAAGAGTTTCTTAGCCTGGAAAGATAGTTTAATAACATATAAGAAAGCCCTTCGTAGTGCCAGAACTGTATTTTATTCATCACTGATTGAGGAAAATAAGAACAACCCCAGGTTTCTTTTCAGCACTGTAGCCAGGCTGACAAAGAGCCATAGTGCTGTTGAGCTTAACATTCCCTTAGATCTCAGCAGCAATGACTTCATGAGCTTCTTTACAAATAAAATCACAACTATTAGAGATAAAATTGGTCGGACCACTCCCACAGCTCTCGCAGATGTGCCATCTACTACAATGGCTTTAGAAACATCAGTGAGACCTCATTTATACTTGGACTACTTCTCCCCTATAGATCTCTCTGAGTTGACCTCAACAATTGCTTCATCTAAATCATCAACATGTCTCCTGGACCCCATCCTGACCAGGCTGCTCAAAGACGTCTTTCCCCTAATCAGCACATCCATACTAGATCTGATTAACCTCTCTCTATTAACAGGTTATGTTCCACAGGCTTTTAAAGTTGCAGTAATTAAACCTCTACTCAAAAAGCCTACTCTTGACCCAGGTGTCCTAGCTAATTATAGACCAATATCCAATCTCCCATTTATTTCCAAAATCCTTGAAAAAGCTGTTGCAAAGCAGTTATGTGACCACTTGCACAAGAATGATTTGTTTGAGGATTTTCAGTCAGGATTTAGAGTCCATCATAGTACAGAAACTGCACTGGTGAAAGTCACCAACGATCTCCTCCTAGCCTCAGATAAAGGACTTGTTTCCATACTTGTCCTCTTAGATCTCAGTGCTGCTTTTGACACCACTGATCACAGCATCTTACTGCAGAGACATGAACATGTTATTGGGATTAAAGGAACTTGCACTAAGTTGGTTCAAATCTTATTAATCAGAAAGATTCCAATTTGTTCATGTTAATGATGAAGTTTCCACACAGACTGAAGTTAGGTCCAGTTCTCTTCACTTTATACAGAACATGCTCTCTTTAGGCAATATTATCAGGAAATGCTACATAAATTTCCATTGCTATGCAGATGATACTCATTTATATTTATCTATGAACCCAGATATATCAGATCAATTGGTCAAACTTCCAGAATGCCTTAAGGTGGCAACTGCACTTTTCCTTGTTTTCTGGCATATCTACAATGTTACAATGGTGAATTATCCTCTTAGACGTGACCTAAAGCTCGTGAGGTGTACTTATATTCTAATACTTCTATGCAGAAGCAATTCGGTTTATACACGTCTCACAAACTCTTGCTCTCTAGACTTTTTTTTAACAATTAAAGTATTACATGATAATTTAAGGATTTCCTTGAATTGACATAATCTCCAGGCAGTTGCCTGACATCCCCCGGTGCCATTGTAAAAGCAGAATTTTTTGACTGTGCCTGGTTTTGTGGATATATTTTCCCTCCTGCTGTTGCACTGTGACCAGAGGATGTGGAGAAAAATCCAGGGCCTGAGATTACTTCATGTCTGGGAATGTTCCTGTAGAGGGACTTGCTGTATTACCTAACCAGGTCTAACCTACAAACAGCTGGCCTGTGAAGCACCGTGGGGCTGTGAATGAACAGCTGATCAAGATTGGATTCCCCCGGAGCACAGCACCTGGTTGTTTTGACTGCTTGAGGCCAGTGTGTCTGCTGCATGTGATACCAGTTAACAAGTGAATTAACAACCCATGATGCTATTGTCAGTGCCACACTACCTGTTCACCTGTAATATAAGGGATTTGTGGGGGAAGACGCAACAATCACGGGTTGGATTTACCAACTATGGAGCTACTTGAAAGGGAATGATGTTTCCAATACTCAGTGGGAAGTAAGGGTAAGTTTTTAAAAAACACATTGCATATCTGTTAAAGGGTTGTTTCTGTAGAAAATTGTTGTAAGGTTGGAGAAGTTACTATGATTTGTTGGGTTTTTCCTCTATAATATTAATAACAGTAAGGTCTAGACCTTACTTTGTAAAGTGTCCTGAGACAACTTTTGTTGGCATTTGGTGCTACACAAGTAAAACTGAATTGAAGCAGCACTTTATATCAACTGTAGCTAGTTAATATGATTTCTGTAATGGCTAAAATGATACTTTGTGCATCAGGCCCTCAAATTCTTCACACAAGTAGCTCATGAAAAATAAGCTGTGATAGTAGGCTACAGCTATTGCTCCTTTTGCAGTCAACCTTCAGGTACTGAGCATTAATTATTTTCAGCCTACAAAAAGGTAATTACAGATGGTTGAATTTATTCATTTTTTTTAACTGCAGCTTCCTGCTAAAATAGCACATGAAAACTAAACATTACAATCTGATAAGTGGTTTAAAGCTGGCTAGAACCCTAACATCAGCCTACAGTCTCATTTGTTAAATAATGGCTGTCCAAATCTAACCATCTACACTACATTGCTATTGTATTATTTTTGGGGTTTAACAGACAAAAGCAGTCAACAATGACAGATCCCGAACTAGAACCTCATCATTGTGCTGAGTGATTTGGATGTAGAGGTTAGAGTGAAATGACTAATCTGATCTGTACTGACACAGTTAACAGGATGCAACTCATTTAAAAGAATACACCAAGATAGTGCTACTGCTAGCTCTCTGCAGAGAGCACTCATTGCTGAACCCTGCCTGAGGAGCCAGGGTTAGTTACTGCACTAACATCCATATTTGTTTTTAATGAAATATTCTTTCTTAGACTTGGTGTTGTATTATCCTCTTTGTCTGTATTCATACTGCTGCAGCTGACCCATCTTAAATATACTTCTCTATGCCTTTTTCATGAAATGGCAGAACAGCCTGGAGGCTCTTGTTTTTACAGCACAATCAGGGTCAAAAATCTACCTTGTGCCTTGTGTCAGTGTGTCCTTGACCAAGTCACTGAGCTCCTAGTGGCTGAAAAACATGTCAGCTACATGATATAGACTGAATTATGAGTATGCCTAGTGATATTCTAAATATAGGTATTTGTCACAATACACAAAATTGAAACCTATTAGCACTGCAACAAACAACTATAACAAAAGCATATTCAGAGCTGACTCCCCTGCCAGTATGTGCACATGCAAACACACACATATACATATTGTTTCCATTACTTCAGAGGACATTATATTGACATATTCATTTCCCTAACCATAACCATAACCACTGCTTACCTCACCCTAACCTTAAACCAAGTCATCACTCTAAAATGTAATGATTTACATTTTAGGAACTTGCTTTTTGTCCTCGTAAGGATGCCATGTCTCCAAAATGTGTAAACAGACTGAGTCCCCCCAACATAAGTAATACCAGGCCACACAAACCCACACCTAACAGCATACACAAACACACATACATAGCTAGCCAATGTTGTCTCATTCTGAAGACAGGATCTTCCCCGAAAATACACACACACACACACACACACACACAGTAACCAGTTTATTCAGCTTGATGTCACTTCTGCCTCATTCTAAACACAGGAGCTCATTTTAAAAACGGGGGATCCTCCCAGCCTCCCTACCTGGGTGCCAGCTTGTGGTAGCTCTGGGAACAGAGCCAGGGTGGTTGGTCTTTTTGGTTGATATTTGTCCATGACAGCACAGGTTGATCCCCCTCTGACAGTCAGCAACTTCCTCCCACCCTCCTCTTCTTAGTCCTACTCTTCTCCTCCTTTATTAAGCCAGTGTACAGGTTCCTCAGCTAGGACAAGGCCCTTGCTTCCCCTTCTTCCTCCTCAAGCTTTTCAGCATCGATTAGCTCCAGCGCTGGCCTCCTGACACACCCCTTCCATCCCTGCTTGCATGATCATTGGCTGGCCACACTGTAACATCATCATCATTTTCCGGGCAGGAGCAGAGTGAAATAGAGGGGAGAGGAGCGGAAGAGAGATAGAATAAATAGAGGGAGAGCAAGAGAGGTGGGTGGTGTTGAACAGTGAACGAGGGCTGCCTGAGAGAAGGCAGGGTGCAGACAGACAGATACAGAGAAGGATGGGGACGGGAGGAGAGTCAGGGCTGACCAATCAGTGCAATGCATGACATCATTATTTCATCTGCCTGTGGCATTTTTCTCTAAATTAAAGCTAATAAATGCTGTCAGTATGCCTGTGGTGTGTTTGTGTGGCCTATTTGAATAAGACTACAGTTTACTGTGATCCAGTGAAGAGAAGAAGGTGACACCCCATTCAGTAAACTAGTTGTTCAGTCAGTCAACAAAGCACACAGAAGCTAACAAACATATCTGTCATGTAATCGACCAAGGAACCCCAACAGTTAGTCACCTGGCAAGCTAATCAGGCAAAAGAGCACTCGGTGAAATGGACAAGTCTGCCAGCTATTTCTGTTACCTAACATTTACAGTCGGTCAGTCAGTTAACCAGCAATTTTTTCAAACAAGTCAGTCAGGCAACAAAACAACCACATCTTTCACCCAGTAAACCAATGAAGCAGTCGGTCTTTAAGTCAAAACAATAAAATAGCCAACAAATCAGTAATTTTGCTAACTGGTATATGAACCAGTCAGCAGCTATAGTAACCACCAGCAAAACAGATCACCCAGTTATTTATAAGAACTAACATTCCAGTCAGTCAGTCTGTCTGCCATTTAACACACCAGTCAGTCAGCCATTAAAACTGTCAAATATTCCACCCATTCAACCAGCAAACCATTCACTCATTCAGTTGGCCAACTATAACCAGCCAGTCGGCCTAGCAGTAGCTATAAGTAAGGCTGCCACTATTTCTAACCATCAGCCAGCTGACAAATTAGCCCGTTAATTAACAGTCCAGTTATGTAGTCCACAATTTACTATAGAAGCTAACAAATTATTCAGTTCTTCAGCCAAACAACTAACCAGTCAGCAAACTAGTCAAAAGAATACCCAGCAAACCAATAACCACTTAACCAGTCTAAGAATCTCTGTAGATACATTCTGGTGTTTTTGCTATTGTGACACCAAAAGCAACGCTTTGTAACCTTATGGGGCCTACTCATAATTTTTTCCATTCCTGGATTTGTGTTTTAACTTCTGGTTGCTATTGCTGGCTAATAAGAGAGTCACAAATACATTTCTCAAAAGTGGGAACACACAGGAGGCCCAACATGACCACATCCATTGCAAGTAGGCTTATTTGATTAAGAAGACTATAAAGTTCTATTACAGTGGGTACAGAAAGTATTCAGACCCCCTTAAATTTTTCACTCAAAAGGGTGCTTCTACTAAATACTGAGCAAAGGGTCTGAATACTTATGACCATGTGATATGTCAGTTTTTCTTTTTTAATAAATCTGCAAAAATGTCAAAAATTCTGTGTTCTTCTGTCAATATGGGGTGCTGTGTGTACATTAATGAGGAAAAAAAATGAACTTAAATGATTTTAGCATATGGCTGCAATATAACAAAGAGTGAAAAATTTAAGGGGGTCTGAATACTTTCCGTACCCACTGTAAGCTCTAAACCCATCACTATGGTGGTGCAAGTTGAGTTATTAATATCATTTAAATTCTTCACATAGGATCATTAAACCAGATGGAAAACTGAACTGAGTGGAACAGTGAAACTAAAACCAATGAGACCCCACTGTGCACTCTGAATAAATAAATAAAAATTATATTAGTACAGGTTTTGAACAGCCACAGCCAGACAGCTTCTTTTACGCTAGTGTATCATTGTGTTATAAACACACAATAAAGCAGAAACACCAGTGTTCCTCAGACTACTGTAGTAGGAAACACAAAGTATAGATACCAGCTTTCGTCAAACTCGATTTAACAGTTCTAGGTGAAAGGTTATCCAACCAGAATCGTTGCCCCGCCCCCATGGTTGTAGACACTTCACACTCGATACTTCAACATGAATCCAGGTAGCCCCTGAAAAGAAAAAAATGCATTTTTATTTTATGTTTTACGAAAACGTGTATGTTAACCGAGATCATTTCATTCATATCAGAGGCAGCTTATCGCAGCATTAACGGCATGTGCCCCGAAAAGCAACTCAGTAAGTATTCTGCTACGTTTACAACCATTTGTATATATATTAAATATAATCCTTCCCCCTTTTTGAAAAAATGTTTTTATCCTGGGGGCAGACAGCTATTTGAGAGCATACGAACAAGCTCTACGTCAAGAACAATCACTCAAGAGACTAAACCGCGAGGTGTCCGGTAAGTTTAAAGAATCATGTTTAAAATATATACACCTATATATACACCTCATGCCGAAAATAAATACTAGTTCTCTATTCTCTAAAAAAGAAACCGGCACTCTGCTCTGCGTGATCAGGAACAGCCATCCCTAACTCAGGACAGTTTGGAAAGTAAGTATCGGCAGCGGTTAAGCTTGTGTGACTATATGTAATAATAACCGCGATGGTGTGATTAAAAAGTAAGCTTACTAATGATTTGAGTAATTTCTCTGTGTTAGAGGGTGTATTAACGATAATGTCAACCACGAATGTAAACTCAGCTCATTTTGATCGGTTAGATGACTTGATTAATAACTTGCTGATAAATAATTCATCAGAAAACCATATGTTACCTCCACTACCGGTTAACCCTTCAGATTTCGATCTATTAGAATTTTCAGTAAACAGCCTCCTGGAAAGAATACGTCAGCAAAAAGACAGGCTTTTTTTCAGCGAAAATCAAAATAGCCCTTCAGAAAGCATTGAAAATAGCCCAATCACTCGTCAGCATCAAGAAAATAACTCCGCCACCTCTCCCTCACAAGATATTGAAAATAGCCTAATCAGTCATCATTCAGAAAACCTGCAAAATACACCTCCACAAGACAGACTTGTAAACGCTGCTCATTTTGATCAATTAGATGCATTAATAAACAGATTACTGATAAAAACTAGTCCACAAAGCAACTAAGGCAATTCACCAAATACATCCTCAGAGTACAATTACAGCGATCCAACACAAGATGGGGCTGATGATTCACCAGATACTTCACCTCTACACCAGGCTAGCGGCTCTGATTTTGACTTATTAGAAGAGGCTGTAAACAATCTGCTGGAACGAATACACTCATCTGTGTGTAATCAAGTCTCCGTATAAATGCACCTGCACTGTGATAGTCTCAGAGGTCTGTTTAAAGCGCAGAGAGCATCATGAAGAACAAGGAACACACCAGGCAGGTCCGAGATACTGTTGTGGAGAAGTTTAAAGCCGGATTTGGATACAAAAAGATTTCCCAAGCTTTAAACATCCCAAGGAGCACTGTGCAAGTGATAATATTGAAATGGAAGGAGTATCAGACCACTGCAAATCTACCAAGACCTGGCCGTCCCTCTAAACTTTCAGCTCATACAAGGAGAAGACTGATCAGAGATGCAGCCAAGAGGCCCATGATCACTCTGGATGAACTGCAGAGATCTACAGCTGAGGTGGGAGACTCTGTCCATAGGACAACAATCAGTCGTATACTGCACAAATCTGGCCTTTATGGAAGAGTGGCAAGAAGAAAGCCATTTCTTAAAGATATCCATAAAAAGTGTCGTTTAAAGTTTGCCACAAGCCACCTGGGAGACACACCAAACATGTGGAAGAAGGTGCTCTGGTCAGATGAAACCAAAATCGAACTTTTTGGCAACAATGCAAAACGTTATGTTTGGCGTAAAAGCAACACAGCTCATCACCCTGAACACACCATCCCCATTGTCAAACATGGTGGTGGCAGCATCCTGGTTTGGGCCTGCTTTTCTTCAGCAGGGACAGGGGAGATGGTTAAAATTGATGGGAAGATGGATGGAGCCAAATACAGGACCATTCTGGAAGGAAACCTGATGGAGTCTGCAACAGACCTGAGACTGGGACGGAGATTTGTCTTCCAACAAGACAATGATCCAAAACATAAAGCCAAATCTACAATGGAATGGTTCACAAATAAACATATCCAGGTGTTAGAATGGCCAAGTCAAAGTCCAGACCTGAATCCAATCGAGAATCTGTGGAACGAACTGAAAACTGCTGTTCACAAACGCTCTCTATCCAACCTCACTGAGCTCGAGCTGTTTTGCACGGAGGAATGGGCAAAAATTTCAGTCTCTTGATGTGCAAAACTGATAGAGACATACCCCAAGTGACTTACAGCTGTAATCGCAGCAAAAGGTGGCGCTACAAAGTATTAACTTAAGGGGGCTGAATAATTTTGCACGCCCAATTTTTCAGTTTTTTATTTGTTAAAAACGTTTGAAATATCCAATAAATTTCGTTCCACTTCATGATTGTGTCCCACTTGTTGTTGATTCTTCACAAAAAATTACAGTTTTATATCTTTATGTTTGAAGCCTGAAATGTGGCAAAAGGTCGCAAAGTTCAAGGGGGGCCGAATACTTTCGCAAGGCACTGTATGTCTCAAATGATTGTCATAGCCCTGGGACAGTAATCACAAAAATACTTGGAACCAATGAACGCTCTAGGATTTTTTTTTATCCCATAATAATGGTTGTCAAACACAAACATGTATAACGTGTCCTGTTTTCGGGCCGTTGATGTCTGAAATACATTCAGATTTTCTTTCTCGATTCTGTAAAACACTACAATTTTACGTCTTCACAATAAAACAAAGATAAAATAGAGCATGCCAAAAATACATTTACAAACAAAAGAAAAATTAACATTGCACAAATTTAAAATGATCTATAAAAGCTATAAGAACTTTAACATTCCTGTAAAATAAAAATGAGTCCAAATACAGAGAAAGATTACGAAATAAAAAATCAGGATGGCCTGTAGGCCCTGGTATAGCATCATATTAGATGCCAAAAGCCAGTTTGAATAAATCTGCCTTTAATTTAGACTTAAAAACCATTAACTCGGTTATAGATCAAACCTCAGGTGGCAGGGCATTCCAGAGCTTGTGGGCATACACGGCGAAAGAACGATCTGCCCACTTTTTATACCTTGCCCGCGGGACAACCAGGGACACACGCTCAGAATAATGCAGCGCACCTGACCGGGGTATAAATGGTTAAAAGATTGTTCAAATAGACTGGCGCAACACCATTAATGGCCTTGAATACAAACAGTAAAATTTATAGTCTATTCTGAACTGTACCGGAAACCAGTGAAGGGACTGAAGAACTGGGATGATGTGAGCATTCTTTGGATTGTTTGACTGTAGGCGAGCAGCCGCGTTCTGTACGAGTACGCCTGTGTAGTTGAGACTGACTAATTCCAGTATAGAGGGCATTGCAGTAGTCAAGTCTTGAGCTAATAAAGGCATGAATGGCTGTTTCTAGGTCGGCTCGAGATAAAAACGGTTTAACCTTTGCTAGGAGCTTCAGCTGAAAGAAGCTTATTTTGACCACCAAACTAATTTGCTTGTAAAATTTGAGGCTGCTATCAAATAACACTCCCAGGTTTTTCACAGTTTGAGTGAAAAACGGGGCTGAAGCTCCTAGGTCGGATACAGTGTGGGTGCGGTCCGGGCTAAAAGCGATATATTCAGTCTTCCCCTCATTCAAATGAAGGAAGTTCTGTGTGAGCCACTCTTTAAATATCACCCAAACACCAGTGCAGGGGGACAAGTGCATTAGCATCACTGCATCAAGAGTAAGTAAATCTGCACATCATCAGCATAAAAATGGAAACGAATGTTATGCTTAGAAATAATTGAGCCTAATGGTAACATATATAATGAGAAGAGAATAGGTGCCAGGACTGAACCTTGGGGAATGCCCGAAGAGAGAGGGGCTATTGCAGAGGTAAAGTCATTGATCATAACTGAAAAGGTCCTATTGCTCAGAAAAGAAATAAACCATTTAAGCACCACCAGAAGTGGGGTGCCTATGCCGGCCCTATTATTTAGCAAGAGAGCATAGTGCTGTGTTTCTGGCTGCTGTGTATGTTAGCCCAAGAGCTAATGCCTCTACGGCTCTCAGCAAACTCCATGATGTCATCAGTGCGCTAGAGAGATCGCACCCCGATGCTGTATTTATCACTGCAGGTGACTTTAACCAGTGCAATTTACAGACTGTACTTCCCAAATATTATCAACATGTGAACATTCCCATCTGGGGCAAGAACACTCTGGATCATGTTTACAGTAACATACGTGGTGCATACAGGGCTGCACACCACCCCCACTTCGGACACTCGGACCACATTTCTTTGTTCCTGTATCCAGCTTACAGACAAAGACTGAAACAAACAAACCCTGTCACCAAACAAATTAAACTCTGGACCCCAGAGACTAAGGCACCTTGGAGGACTGGTTTGCCCAGACAGACTGGGATGTGTTTAAAGCTGCAGCCACCTTGGAGGGCTTTTCTGTCAGCGTACAGGATTATGCTGAGTATGTGACTGGGTACATTAGTACCTGTATTGACAACACTGTGCCCAAAGCAGCCTACAGGAGGGAGGTGGTCGGTCTGGTATCATGGTGCAAGGACAATAATCTCACCCAAGATGGACAAGATGGAGATGATAGTGGACATGAGGAAGGAGAGGAGAACTCATCAGGCACTGTTCATCCAGGGACTCAAAGTGGAGAGGGTGAGCAGCTTCAAATACCTGGGTGTCCACATTAGTGAGGACCTCACCTGGACACTTAACACCACACAGCTGGTCAAGCAGGCCCAACGGTGGCTGTACTTCCTGAGGAGGCTGAGGAGGTTTGGCAATGTCGCCTAGGATCCTTTGCAACTTCTACAGCTGCATCGTCGAGAGCATCTTGACCAGCTGCATCACTGTCTGGTATGGCAGCACTACTGCTATGGACCGCAAGTACCTCCAGAGAGTGGTAAAGACTGTGGAGAAGATCACCAGGACTCCACTGCCCTCTCTGCAGAGCATTTACCACCTCAGGGAAAGCTGCCTCCATCTTTAAAGACCCCACCCACCCCTAGTACGGACTGTTCACGCCCCTACTCTCCAGTCAGGGGTTCAGAAGGGTGAAATGCAGGACCTCTAGACTGAAAAACTTTATTTCCCTCTGCCATCAGACTCCTAAACAGCTGACTCAGGATCTACCTCATGTAATTCCATCTGTACTGTTTACATACTCATTTTGCACACTTACTGCTGAATACTGCTGACACATACAGTGGGGCAAATAAGTATTTGATACTTAACGGCTCCCACGTAGCATATATTCTCTCTGCATTATATTGTGTTCTTGTATTTTTATTGTGCTTCTTTCACTTGATGCTGCTTTAAAGTGCCTTAGATTTGTGTAACTGCCTATTTAGATTTGTGATATTGCTCATCTACTTTATATTTCACTTGTATTGTGAGGCATTCATGTGGACGGCGAAGTAAGAATTTCATTGTACAGGGAAACACATTTCCTAACTGTGCATATGACAACACTTTGACCTTTGACTAATTATATGTGTTGGGGTTTTTGGTCAGCTGAAGCCAGTAATGTAGCTACAGCTAGTTTACTGTAGAAGCATTCCTGGGCCTACTGGAGCAGCAGACCTGGGCTGCTATTACAGTAGACTTGAGGCAAACTATTTAATCAGTCTTCTGTAATAGCAGTAGACTTGGCATAATTTTGTGGGACTAGGGACTTGGGTAGGAACAGCTCTAATATGTGGTCCTGGATCTACTGGAGCAACAAGCCTGGGATGATTGAAAAAGTGGTTCTGAGTCTAATGGACTGGCACTGGGTCTACTGAAAAGGTAGTTCTACCAAAACAGCAAATCTGGGATGGCCCTAGGCCTGCTGGAGTTGCTGACCTGGAATGACTGAAGATACTGTTTGGTCCTAGGTCTAGTGATGGAGAGGACCTAGGTCTACCTTGAAGAGGCCATCCTTTGTCTGATGGGGGAGTGAATCTGGGTTGAATGATGAAGTGGTCCTAGGTCTACTGATATATTGAAGAGTTGGTCTTTAGTCTACAAAAGAAGTGATACTATCTACCGAAAAAGAAGTGCTTGGCCTAATGGTACTACACTGGGGAGCATTGATCCATCCATCACCTATACCACTTACTGCTAAATAGGGTCACTGGGGGGCTGGCCAATCCCAGATGAGAATGGGTGAGAGGCAGGGTCCACCCTGGACAGGTATCCAGTCTGTCACAGGTCTGACATGTAGACAAGCAACCACACACACTCCTACAGGCAGTTTAGAGTCACTAGTCAACCTAAGCCGCATGTCTTTGGACTGTGGGAGGAAGCCGGAGCACCCGGAGGGAACTCACGCAGGCACAGGAAGAGCATGCAGACTCCACACAGAAAGGCCCTGGATCAGCCCAGGCTTGAAGGCTGGGAGGCAACAGTGGTGTGGTGGGTAGAGCAGTCGTCTCCCAACTAAAAGGTTGAAGGTTTGAATCTCGGTGCCTGCAAGACACTGAATCTCCCCGATGGTTAGAGCCATCGGTTAAGTTGGTGCCGCAGGTGGCTGCCATTGGTTCTGTACTGGAAACAAATTCCTTGTGTGATACATACTTGGCCAATAAAGGTGATTATCCTTATCCTTGAGGCGACAGCACTAACCGCCAGGGAGCAGTAATGCTTTTACACCATACTAATGTTGCAGAGTGGAAAAATCAATAATTGGATGTTCTCATCTGTTGGTATAGAAGAAGATAACTTACTTTTTCTGTGTTTCACAGAAAGGCAGAAGCATGTTTACAGTAGGGCAAATAAGTATTTGATACACTGCTGATTTTTTTCCCCACTGAATGGACAGATCTATAATTTTCATCGTAGGTACACCTCAACTGTGAGAGACAATCTACAAAAAAATTCCAGAAAATCACAGTTAGATTTTTAAATAATTTATTTCCATTTTATTGCATGAAATAAGTATTTGATACAATAGAAAAATAGAACTTAATATTTGGTATGGAAACCTTTGTTTACAATTACAGAGGTCAGACATTTCCTGTAGCTCTTGACCAGGTTTGCACACACTGATAACCGTTGAGACTGCGGTCGCAGCTCTTTTTAGGTGATTGACCAGGTCCTCTCATGTAGTTCTAGGCTGATCCCTCACCTTTCTCAGGATCACTGATACTCCATGAGGTGAGATCTTTCATGGAGCCCCAGTCCGAGGGTGATTGTCATCTTGAATTTCTTCCATTTTCTAATAATTGTGCCAACAGTTGTTGCCTTCTCACCAAGCTGTTTGCCTTTTGTCCTGTAGCCCGTCCCAGCCTTGTGCAGGTCTACAATTTTGTCCCTAGTGTCCTTGTGATTGTAAATGTAATTTACTGGAATTTTTTGTAGATTCTGTCTCTCACAGTTGAGGTGTACCTATGATGAAAATTACAGAACTGTCCATTCTCTGTATGTGGGAAAACTTGAAAAATCAGCAGTGTATCAAATACTTATTTGCCCCATCGTATGTGTCAGAGAAATCCAATGAATTTCCTTGCTGCCCTCTTCTCTTTTCATCTCTTTTTCCAGGATAGGAACACCAGCTCCTCTGATCGATCAAACAGCTATTAAACAGCCACTTCCTCTCATCTTAATACAGCAACTCTGCATGCTTTTCTCTCTCCATTTATTGCCCTTACTGATTTCTGTGGCAATTTTGTTCTTAGTTTCTGTCTCTCATCACTGTGATCAATAACGTAGAGGTTGCTTAGGTTTGTCTATATACAGTACATTCCTGCACAATCAAATACAGTATGGATAAACTTTTCATTATTCAAGACTATAATGTGTTTATATTAAATCCACAGACACACACTTGTACTTCTATCATTGTGAGGACACCAATTTACCTTAACTTTAACCACCAGAACTAAATGTCTAACCCTAGTACCAAACCTAACTGTAAGCCTTAGCCCTCAAAATGCTATTTCAGGAAGTGAAGGCAAGCAAAAATGTCCTTCCTCTGTAGCAAAAATGTACAAGAACACACACACAAATGAGTTGGTGTTTGTATAAAAATGGTTCAGAACATCCCCCAAACCCCCAGTTCTTCCCCCTCTCTATGCTTTATATATATTGTTACCTAAAACCTTTTTCACAAGACCCCTCTGCAAGACTAGGCCAAAAAAAAGAGATAATGATCATGGCCTTTTACAGTCCCAAACCAATTTACACCTGACACCCAGTGAACAAGGTGACCTGGGATGCCAGGGACCCAATGTAACAGTTGGTAATCCTGCTCTGAGTGACTGTTCCAAACCATCAGCAACAAAGGACAGTTCTGTTTTATTGCAAGTGGGTCTTATTTTTAGGTGAAAAACAAAGGTAAGTGCACCAGAAATGTTGTACTCATCCCTCACTGCACAGGCAAACTGTATGCACCCACATGCAGGCCTACACAATACATAAAGCAGAAAGGTCTGGTCTGAAAACCGTGATGGAAGGTTACTACGTAAAGTGTGGGAAATCATTTTACCATTCAATTACATTCAATTTTATTTGTATAGCACCAATTCACAACAAAGGACACTCTCAGGACACTTTACAAAGTCAGGTCAAGACCTTCCTATTATGACTGTTATTATTACAGAGGGAAAACCCAACAAATCCCCCAAGCAGCCCTTGGGGAGACAACGGGGAGGAAAAACTCCCTTTAATGGAAGAAACCTCTGACAGATCCCGGCTCTTGGTGGGCGGCCTTCTGCCTCGACCGATTAGAGTGAGTGGATAGAGGAGAGAGAGAAAAAGAAAGGCAACAATCAGACACTGGGCAGGTTGATGTTTGACCTCGTCCAGCCGGTACTGGGCCCCCACTCAGATAAATCTGGGTAAACCGATTTCATTCTTACAACTGACTGTTATTTTGCTTACACCGGTCTCATCATCTGACTGCCCATGACTGATTTCACCAATAGGAATGAAAACAAAATAACACCTAAGTTGTAATAAACTGGAATTATCCTTTTATATTTTTAATACACCACTTTGTATTTGAACATAGGGGTCCACAGACCAGTGCAATAGCCAAAGCATCCTCATATCCTTTACTACTGCCAGCAGTAGGTTTTCATGGTCAAGCAATCACATATGAGGGTCCAAGTATCATGAGAATTTTGCTTTTATGACATTATGGGGTAACTGAGTTGCCCTTGGCAGAGGTCTGCACCCTCTACTGTTGTCTAGTTAAAGAATGGCTCCACTGGAAACATTTGCAGTAGAACCAAATACAAGTTGATCCAATTGAAGTTATTTGTATGGGTAAATGAGCAAAAACTGCAGTTATTGTTTTCTTCCCAGATATTTAGCTTCACTCCTTTTATATGACAGTACATTGAACATTTGATTTTTTTTGGACTGTTGTGGCTGAAAAAAGTGAACAAATGTAATGACACCTTGGACCCTGAAACATGATTGTGGACAGACCCCATTGTTTTGTTACATTTTACAGAATAATTACAAGTTGATTAATCCAGAAAATAAAAGACAGGTTAAAGGATTATGAAAATACTCTTTAGTTGCAGCCTGAGTAAATTTACAAACTGTTTAATCTCAACAGTTTGCTGAGATTGTGCAGAATTTGTTACATCTACTACCCTCTAGTGGATGATTTTGGTAAGAAACCTCTAGGCACAAAGTACAAGTCTTTGTGAAACCCTCATCATCAGTCCATTAATAAAAACAGGCATGTTAGCGTTTTACATATTTTATATACAAACTCTGATAAATATGTGAGGAGAACAACAAAACAATTCTTTCTCTACATCTATTTCACACAAGAAGCATTTTCAACTGCCAGAGGGTTATATAGGGTTAAATAGGGCCAATGCAAAAGTTCTCACTCTCAGACATGGCATAATGATCTTGTGCCACATCTACAATGTCTACATTCATTAGTCTCATTATTTACATAATTTCAATCAGCCATTTGCTCTACCTTCATGGATGTGTGACCCTCCAAAACAGACAGGATTTTTATCATTTATGCTTGATTACAAAGTGTCAGGTTTCCTTAAAATGGACCCAAAATGTCAACAATTGTACACTGGAGGGAACTACAACATAAAATGAAGTCAAGGTCATTAAATGTGAGGTTTTGCCTCTAAATAAGAAATCTGTTTTTGTCCTGGCCAGTAGCCAGAATGGTCTGGTTTAGGCCGTCACGCTGGGACTCTGTTGTTACAACAACGCTGTTACCCACAATTTATTAAATCTCATAATTATACAAAAATATTTCTGAAAATGTCAGAATACAGTGCTTGCATTACTCGTGTTTCACAGAGCACGTAGAGTCAGGTGTAGAGAAGGGTGACGCTTCATCTCGTTTCTAAGAAGAGGACAGTAGAAGCCTGCTACTGATGGCCACACTGTAATTGGTGGGTTCAATATGGAAATGATGTGTAATATTTGCAGTATATTATGTTGTTCCTTAGAAGCTGTGTGTGTGTGTGCGTGCATATATCTCAGAGTGCCATCTTAAATATCTTTTAGGGTTATGACCTCCTTTATTAAACAAGAATGATTTTGTTCTGTTCTAATATACCAAAATGAGCCATTAATGAGCTTATTTAAAAGATTGTCTAGGCAATATTTCCATTTCTTTTGGAGAAAATGTGGGTTAAATGCTTCTGTACTGCCTCCACCTGTGCTGCTATATTGTGCCTTTGTGTGCCCAGTTGTCCAGCAAGGATGTTTCTTAAACTCTACCTGAAAGAGAGACCAGAGCAGAAAACATGGTTTTAGCCACTTCAAGTGCTATTAGTCAGATAAGGCAGGTTGCTAATCACTGACAGAGGAAAACACTCCATGCAGGCTTTGCCCTCAAGTCATCCATCATGCTGAGCTCTGGAGAGTCTCATCATGTTAAGAACTGTACAGTAGCTTTTTTGAGTGACACAAAATCTAAAACAGCAAAACTCCTTTCCATGACTTTGTGACATAGGCTATGCTCACATTATAGGCCTTAATGTTCAATTCAGATTTTTTTTGTCATCTTTTTTATCTTGTTTACTTGTCTACTTGTTGCTTTAGGGAAGAGCATTGTGCATGCACATCGGGAGCCTCTGTGCCCGAGTCGAAGTCCAACACACCTGGCCAATACAGCTGATTCTGATTCTATATACTACGTCACTTCGTTTCCTCCTTTGTTTCTGTCATAATTAATACAACCACTAGTCATACTAGGAGGTGCTGGAGGCACCTACTCAACCACATTATGGGCATGATAACAACTGATAGCAGTTTCTGAACACTTGAATCAGCTGAGCTGGTGAGCTATCCGTTAATTAAAAAAATATTAGCCCCACCCACCACACTAGCCCACCAAAATGGCAGTTAGCAGGCTAGTGGTATGGACTGCCAGACCGAGAGTGTACAGTAACATGGTTTTAGTTACAAATACAAAAAGTTTACAGTTTAGGTTTCTGAACTATTTCAACTGTCAGCAAGGCTATAAATACGGGCCTCGAAGAGCACCGAGATACAGAGAAGGCAGAGGAGAAAAAGGAAGTTCCAGGGGAGGATGGAGAGGACAAAGGAATTAGGTGAAACTGTTGCAATTCCTCGTTACCGTAGGAGCACTACTTGATTCAAGATGGCGCCGTTGTTGTTGGCTCGCCGTCTGACACTCCTATGGATTTGCTGTTTTTTGATATTTGATGCTGTTGTGGCTAGAGTGTGATGCCGACTAAATTAATTCAGACAAATCATCCCAATTTAAATGACCATTTAATATTACAATTATTCTGAACAGAGTAGTAGTGAAACAGACAATCTGATAGGGAACAGAGAACGGAGACCAGAGTCACTCCTGCCATGAGATAGATACAAGTATTAAATAAGAAGACTGTCAAAAGCAACAGTCAGTTGTTGTTGGTGGAGGTACCGTCAGTCAGTCTTTGTCAACCCACAGTCAGGAGGGCCGGGTCTACGGTACACTTTTCACGGTGGCATTGTCATCCTCTCTTCTTCTCTTCTAACACTTCAGGCTCACTCTTTTATCCGCAGCTTTCCTTAGGCTGCTACGTCAATTTCTGAACTTAGCTTCCTGTCTCCAGTTTCGGGAGACAACACCCTGAGATGTACTTCAAAAACAGGAAACATCTTGGCCAACTTATATAACTTTATTGTTCAGCTCACATGAACTTAATGAACCCATAAACACTTAGCTCACCCTTAAACAACTAGTACAAATAATATCTATATATGAACTACATACTGTTCTATTACATATTCCCTCTGGAACCTTGTTTATTTTTAACCACTACAATGCTGCTTCTGTTGTTTCTACCTTGGTTTATGATCAACTGATGCTCCTTGATATACGCAACTCATTTGGATCTTCCAGCATTCACCTAGCCTATCAATCTGAACTTCCACCGCCACCACTGGCGTCTATACCTTCTTTCCTTCAGCGGAGTACTGGCCCTCGTTCCGGGTAGGCCCCATCGGAGGCGATGTGGTAGGAGAGCTGGGCCTCATGTAAGATTGAAATCGGGCCTGAACTCACTGTAGTGGAGGGAGCACCTGCTCGAGCATGGCTGCCTTGACTCAAGCTGGACTTTTACCTACAACTATTGCTTTCTTCGGCCGGCTGGCAAAGGTGTTGACCCCCCTCGCCCACATTGTTGGCTGATTAGACGCTCGGATCGGTGTCATTCCCAGGCTAACCTCCGCCCAGTGGCTCAAAATGACTTCTCTCGACAAGCCAAGTCTGCTTCAGTTTGCTCTTCTGAACATAAGATCGCTTAACAACAAGACCTTTATTCTTAACGATCTTATGTGTTCACACCACCTGGATATGTTTTTTATTACTGAAATTTGGTTGAAACAAGGCGACAACAGTCTCTTTTCTAAGTTGTTACCGGCGGATTATTTATTTTTTAATACGCCGCGACTGGCGGGTAGAGGTGGTGGTCTGGCAACAGTCTTTAAGTCGACCCTAAAATGTCGCCCATTTCCCTCAAGAGATTTTTCCAGTTTTGAACTACAAACTTTAATTTTAACCTTACACCGCCCTACGTTATGTGTTTTAATATACCGCCCTCTGAAAGCCAAGGATTTTATAAATGACTTTGGGGAACTCCTGGGTGTATTAATTCCACAATTTGACAGCTTTTTAATTTGTGGAGATTTTAATATTCATGTTGACTGTGCTTCAGATCAGTTAAGCGAAGGAGTTCAACGATTTGCTTGAATCCTTTGATCTCGTCCAGTCGGTACTGGGCCCCACTCATCTACGTGGGGGCACCCTGGACCTTGTCATTTCTCGGGGCCTATCAGTCTGTATCAAGGATGTATCAAACCTGGCCATCACGGATCACTTTCTTATCCACTTCGAAGTTCTGGCATCGACAAGTGCTCCTAGAACGTTGGCCCCCTGCCGGCGTCGTAGGATTATCACCTCATCTATGGCGTAGGATTTTGCCATTGCCTTTTCTGCTTCTGAGCTTTACTCCTCAGGGGGTGAGAACCTCCCAGCATGCCCTGACACTTTCCTTGGCTTATTTGACTCTACTTGTTTTATGATTATGGAGTCCATTGCTCCCTTGGTGAAAAGGAGGACTAGAAATACTGTTGACCCTTGGTTGAACGTCACCACCCGCGCCCTGCGAAGACGGTGCATGCAGACGGAGCGGAAATGGAAGAAAGATGGACTACATGTTTCCCTTGCCATGCTAAGGGACACCCTCCTTTCTTATCAGAAAGCTGTAAAAGACACTAAATTGCGATACTTATCTAATATTATTTTGAATAATAGTCAACACCCAAAGGTTTTGTTCAATACCATTAACTCGGTTATTAATCCTCATGCTACATTGGAAACTGAGGGCTCAGTTACAAATTGTAATCAATTTCAGAGATATTTCATTGATAAAGTTCTGAATATTAGGCGAAACATTCCTATGTCCCTACCTCATGTACTGCCTGTATCTCATGCACTCCATATATTAGATTCCTTTTCTCCAATCTCTCTGCATCAATTTAAAAAAAATTGTCTCGCACCTGAAGCTCACCTCCTCTCCTCTGGACTTAGTCCCAGCCAGGATTATTAAGGAGGCTATTGACATGGTAGGGCCTACCTTGGTCACTATCATCAACTGCTCTCTCAGCTCGGGGTTGGTTCCCACCACCCTTAAACATGCCATAGTGAGACCTCCTCTTAAGAAATCTAACCTTGATCCAGCCAATCCGTCTAACTTCCGCCCAATTTCTTGACTGCCTTTTTTTATCTGAAGTAATGGAAAAGCGGTTCTTACTCAGCTGCAGTCTCACCTAGATCGTTTGGACATTGCTGACAAATTTCAGTCAGGTTTTAAGTCCCGCCATAGTACAAAGTCTGCTTTGCTGAGGGTCCATAATGACATCGCCATGGCTCTTGACACCAAGCGCCCCATTATTTTACCTTTACTAGACTTATCGGCAGCATTTGATACTGTTGACCATGCAGTTTTATTATCTACACTGGAACACCTTGTTGGGCTGAGGGGCACGGTTTTAAACTGGTTTAGTTCTTTCTTGAGAAACAGAACATTTTCTGTCATTATTGATGATTTTTCCTTTACAGTCCATCTTACCTCTGGCCCTTGGCACCTTTACTTTTCTCTTTATATATGTCACCGTTGGCGTCAATTACAGTGGGTACGGAAAGTATTCAGACCCCCTTAAATTTTTCACTCTTCGTTATATTGCAGCCATATGCTAAAATCATTTAAGTTCATTTTTTTCCTCATTAATGTACACACAGCACCCAATATTGACAGAAAAACACAGAATTTTTGACATTTTTGCAGATTTATTAAAAAAGAAAAACTGAAATATCACATGGTCATAAGTATTCAGACCCTTTGCTCAGTATTTAGTAGAAGCAGCCTTTTGAGCTAATACAGCCATGAGTCTTTTTAGGAATGATGCAACAAGTTTTTCACACCTGCATTTGGGGATCCTCTGCCATTCCTCCTTGCAGATCCTCTCCAGTTCTGTCAGGTTGGATGGTAAACGTTGGTGGACAGCCATTTTCAGGTCTCTCCAGAGATGCTCAATTGGGTTTAAGTCAGGGCTCTGGCTGGGCCATTCAAGAACAGTCACGGAGTTGTTGTGAAGCCACTCCTTCGTTATTTTAGCTGTGTGCTTAGGGCCATTGTCTTGTTGGAAGGTGAACCTTCAGCCCAGTCTGAGGTCCTGAGCACTCTGGAGAAGGTTTTCGTCCAGGATATCCCCGTACTTGGCCGCATTCATCCTTTCCTCGATTGCAACCAGTCGTCCTGTCCCTGCAGCTGAAAAACACCCCCATAGCATGATGCTGCCACCACCATGCTTCACTGTTGGGACTGTATTGGACAGGTGATGAGCAGTGCCTGGTTTTCTCCACACATACCGCTTAGAATTAAGGCCAAAAAGTTCTATCTTGGTCTCATCAGACCAGAGAATCTTATTTCTCACCATCTTGGAGTCCTTCAGGTGTTTTTTAGCAAACTCCATGCGGGCTTTCATGTGTCTTGCACTGAGGAGAGGCTTCCGTCGGGCCACTCTGCCATAAAGCCCCGACTGGTGGAGGGCTGCAGTGATGGTTGACTTTCTACAACTTTCTCCCATCTCCCGACTGCATCTCTGGAGCTCAGCCACAGTCATTTTTGGGTTCTTCTGTACCTCTCTCACCGAGGCTCTTCTCCCCCGATAGCTCAGTTTGGTCGGACGGCCAGCTCTAG